CATTCTGAGTTGCTGCAATGAAATTTCAGCAAAATGGACTAGCCTGCTGCATCATTTTTTCACTTTGATTTTCAGGGTGTCTTTGAATTTAGTCCTCTGTAGGTTGATCATTTTCATTTCCATCAAACATGGGGCATCCTTATGCTTTGAAAACATTACCCAATCCATATCAGTATAGATATCCAGCATGAGATTTTTCCCCTTTGAGATCTGATGTGTTTTTTCAAAGTGTTCCTTTAATTTTTTGAGCAGTGTGTGTGTGTATGTGTGTGTATATATATATATATACAGTATATATATATACACATATACATATACACACACACACACACACATATACACACACAAACTTAGGTCCATATATATTTGGACACAGTCACAATTTTAGTCTTTATCAGCTTCTTACCAAAACATACTCAAGCTATAGTTATATAATAGATATGGGCTGAAAGTGCACACTCTCAGGTTTAATTTGAGGGTATGTACATTCAAATTGGAGGAAGGGTTTAGGAATTACATCTCTTAAGAGTAGCCATCCCCCCTTTTTCAAGGGACCAAAAGTAATTGGACAATTGAATCAAAAGCTATTTCATGGCCAGGTGTGGGCTACTCCTTTGTTATTTCTTCATCAATTAAGCAGGTAAAAGGAGTTGATTCTAAGTGTGGTACAGTATTTGCATTTGGAATCTATTGCTGTGAACCTACATCATGCGTTCAAAGGAGCTGTCCATGTAAGTGAAACAGGCCTGAGGAAGGAGCGAGCATGCCCTGAACACGTGCCATACGTGGAGTTCCGGTCCCAGGTGACGTCACAACTTAAAGCCTCCCTACGTCTCTCTCTGCTACCCCCCCCCCCCCCGAGTCCTGGAAAACCACTGGAGCGGCGGGGACGAGGAAGAAGGATCGCATAGGATACCACACTATCACCAGAGCGCACTAACCCACTTTATCCGGACATGCATGTTTTTACTTCACACTTGTGAGTGTTTTTATTCATTAAATTTGCCTGGTTTTAAACAATCAGAGTGGCGCCACTGTGTTTTATCTCTCTCAAAACCGGTGTACTAGAGTCACTTCAAGCTCTGACAGCTGGCTGCCTCCACCTCAAAGACCCACATTCACCCAGAGATTAACCCATCCTTGAGCTTCCTATTTAGGACAGTGCTGGATTATACACCTGCAAGTCCCAATTTATATGTATGGCCTCTCATATATATCAATTATTGGTCCACCTATGCTTGCTACATTCACTTGGGTCTATATTCTAGCGCTCCCAATTCTCCTTTGTATAATTGTCAAAGTCTACAATCAAGAGAAGACGTCACGAGAGCAAATACAGAGGGTTCACCACAAGGTGCAAACCATTCATAAGCCTGAAGAATAGAAAAGCCAGATTAGACTTTGCCAAAAAACATCTAAAAAAGCCAAACCAGTTCTGGAAAAGCATTCTTTGGACGGATGAAACTAAGATTAATCTGTACCAGAATGATGGGAAGAAAAATGTGTGGAGAAGGCTTGGAACAGCTCATGATCTAAAGCACACCGCGTCATCTGTAAAATATGGTGGAGGAAGTGTGATGGCATGGGCATGTATGGCTTCCAGTGGCACTGGGTCATTGGTGTTTATTGATGATGTGACAGAAGACAGAAGCAGCAGGATGAATTCTGCAGTGTTTAGAGATAAACTGTCAGTCCAGATTCATCCAAATGCAGGAAAGTTGATTGGATGAAGCGTCACAGTACAGATGGACAATGATCCAAAACACACTGCAAAAGCAACCCAGGAGCTTTTGAAGGGAAAGAAGTGAAATATTCTGTAATGGTTGAGTCAATCACCTGATCTCAACCCAATTCAGCATGCATTTCACTTGCTGAAGGCAAAACTAAAGGCAGAAAGAGCCACAAACAAAGAACAACTGAAGACAGCTGCAGTTAGACCCTGGCAAAGCATCAGAAAGGAGGAAACCCAGTCTTTGGTAATGTCCATGGGTTCCAGACTTCAGGCAGTCATTGCCAGTAAAGGATTCTCAACAAAATATTAAAAATGAACATTTATGATTATATTCATTTGTCCAATTACATTTGAGCCCCTGAAAATGGAGGGACTGTGTATTAAAATGGTTGCAGTTCCTAAAATTTGATATTTATGTTCAACCCCATACAGAGCCAAAAGTATTAAAATTGTGCCTGTGTCCAAATATATCTGGACCTAACTGTGTATATGTATCGGATTGCCAGACAGAGAAGCATGATCTGCTACTCCAGAGAGCACGTCTCCACTGCTCTAGAGTCCAGTGGCGGCATGCTGCTTTACACCACTGTATCCGACGCTTTGCATCGTACTTGTAATGTAAGGCTTGGATGCAGCTGCTGCTCGGCCATGGAAACCCATTCCATGAAGCTCTTTATGCATGGTTGTTGTGCTAATCTGAAAGCCTTACGAAATTTGGAGGTCTTTAGCTATTGACTCTGCAGACAGTTGGTGACTTCTGCGCACTGTGCGCTTCAGCATGCGCTGACCTCGCTCTGTCATTTTCCGTGGCCTATAACTTGATGGCTGAGTTGCTGTTGTTCCCAGTTGCTTCCACTTTGTTATGATACCACTAATAGTTGACCATGAAATATTTAGTAACAAGGAAATGTCACGGATGGACTTATTGCACAGGTGGCAACCTATCACGGGACCACGCTTGGAGTCACTGAGCTCCTGAGAGCGACCCATTCTTTCACAAATATTTGTAGAAGCAGTCTGCATGCCTAGGTGCTTGATGTTATACATCTGTGGCCATGGAGGTGATTGGAACACCTGAATCCAATGATTTGGAGAGCTGGCCCAATACTTCTGGCAATGTAGTATATATAATTATAATATATATATATATATATATATATATTATTGATGATGTGACAGAAGACAGAAGCAGCCAGATGAATTCTGCAGTGTTTAGAGATATACTGTCAGCCCAGATTCAGCCAAATGCAGGAAAGTTGATTGGATGGAGCGTCACAGTACAGATATATTTTTGATATCTATAGTATATATAGTATATATATTTTTTTTTTTCCCTGGGTTTAGATATCCTTTAATTACATTAATTGGAGAGAACTGTTCTTTCAGAAAGACGCCACCTAGCAGCGAAACTATGCACACCATAAAGTACATTCTCAAACCGCGAGCGCTGATAGTTCCACAATGTCACCTTTACAGAAACCTGGCTCGAAGCTGTGCTGTTGGGACTCAAATTACCCGCATTGACATTGGCTCTGGCACTCGACCCAATGTAGTCTGGTCACTTATTATGTTCCATGGCACTCGAGGTTAATTCCCGACATGGCACTCAAGGGGTCAGAGAGAGGATTTGGTAGACTGAAGCCGGGACAGTTCGGTTTCCTCTGATGGATTAGGCTCAAGCAAAATCCGGTTATAGAAAGCTTTTGTTATGCTACAGATTAGATGATGTGTTAGGATTTCTGTGACTTAGAAGATGTCACAGAGCCTGGCATACATACAGCAACTGTGCGTGGTGAAGGGCACAGGGACTTAATAACCCATCCGGCACACTGGCTGACATTCAGCTGTGACATACATGCCATGCTACGTGCAGGCACAAACACTCTTCCTTACCCTGGCCATGAGCACGCTGCTCTCTGAGGACAACACAGCACCAGAGATGTTATCATCGGCCATACCGCTGCAGCGCCAAACCGCCAAATCCACAGACAATTTTGTCCCCAAGTTAGGTGGCATTTTATAGTGACGCACACAGGGTGACTCACTGTTTTTTACCATGGGAAAATGAAAAATGATGCTAATCAGTTCCAGGGATTTTTGTACTTTTTTACATTTTCTGCAGACAATAATGAAGATTTATGGGAAAACTAATCTAAGGACTTATACAGGTTGGCTTTGCTGGCCTCCCTTACTGATAATGCTGCCTGCCTGGTGTTCATGCTGAGCCAATAGCGTCTGAACACATTTGCAAATTAGGAGCTCTGATATTCCTCATTTGCATGCTAATTCTGTCAATGGTTTAGAAATTATTAAAGCCATTGTATAAGTCATGTGACTAACATTTTCAGAAGGAAGTTAGCAATGACAGCCTATTCCTCTTTAAAGGGTAACTCCACTTTTGGTGGAAAAAATAAGCAAATAAAAACGAATATAACATACAATGGTAACACAAGTTATATTGTAATTGAATGTTATTAAATATTACCGTATTTTTCACTCCATAAGATGCACCTGACCATAAGACGCACCTAGATTTTAGAGGAGGAAAAAAAAAAATTCTAAACCAATGGACTGCAGACATAGTACAAGAGATGACCAGAGACTGCGGACACAGTACAGGAGATCACCAGAGACTGCGGACATAGTACAGGATATGACCAGAGACTGCGGACATAGTACAGGATATGACCAGAGACTGCGGACACAGTACAGCAGATGACCAGAGACTGCGGACATAGTACAGCAGATGACCAGAGACTGCGGACATAGTACAGGAGATGACCAGAGACTGCGGACATAGTACAGGAGATGACCAGAGACTGCGGACACAGTACACGAGATGACCAGAGACTGCGGACACAGTACAGGAGATCACCAGAGACTGCGGACATAGTACAGGATATGACCAGAGACTGCGGACACAGTACAGCAGATGACCAGAGACTGCGGACACAGTACAGCAGATGACCAGAGACTGCGGACACAGTACAGCAGATGACCAGAGACTGCGGACATAGTACAGGAGATGACCAGAGACTGCGGACATAGTACAGGAGATGACCAGAGACTGCGGACATAGTACAGGAGATGACCAGAGACTGCGGACATAGTACACGAGATGACCAGAGACTGCGGACATACTACAGGAGATGAACAGAGACTGCAAACATAGTATAGGAGATGACCAGAGACTGCAGACATACTACAGGACATGAACAGAGACTGCAGACATAGTACAAGAGATGACCAGAGACTGCAGACACAGTACAGGAGATGACCAGAGACTGCAGACACAGTACAGGAGATGACCAGAGACTGCAAACACAGTACAGGAGATGACCAGAGACTGCAGACATATACAGTACAGGAGATGACCAAAGACTGCAGACATAGTACAGGAGATGACCAGAGACTGCAGACATAGTACAGGAGATGACCAGAGACTGCAGACATAGTACAGGAGATGAAAGAGACTGCAAACATAGTACAAGAGATGACCAGAGACTGCGGACACAATACAGGAGATGACCAGAGACTGCAAACATAGTACAGGAGATGACCAGAGACTGCGGATATAGTACAGGAGATGACCAAAGACTGCAGACATAGTACAGGAGATGACCAGAGACTGCGGATATAGTACAGGAGATGACCAGAGACTGCGGACATAGTACAGGAGATGACCAGAGACTGCGGACACAGTACAGGAGATGACCAGAGACTGCGGACACACAGTACAGGAGATGACCAGAGACAGACGGACACAGTACAGGAGATGACCAGAGACTGCGGACATTTTAGTGACTGATGTGAATGTACAATATATATGTAAAGTGCTGCGTAAATTGACGGAGCTATATAAGTACCTGAAATAAATAAATGCTATCTGCAGAGATGGTGAGAAAGAGGAGATAAAGTTGCCCTTACAGCTTGCCTGTTCTCTTGTACTTACTTTGAGAGTTATCAGCAGCAGTCTGTGACTGTCCAACCTTTTCTTAGATGGGGGTACCACCAGGCACACTGTAAATCAGGGCATGTCTCCAGATTGCATACCTGCCCTGACATGCAGGGTCTTCTCCATAATAATCTCCTTGCATCATTGAGATTCCTTTTTGTAAGGAAAACTAAAACAGAAGACAAAAACTTATCATGTTTGTACTGGGACAGTTTTCACCCTGGTGGGTGGGAGATTGTATTAGGAGCAGGGGGAAAATTTGTGCTTTGAAGGCACTCTGTGTGGTGCTAACTCCTGGCCCCTGTACTCCGTGTATTGCCCACTCCTGGCCCCTGCACTCAGTGTATTGCCCACTCCTGGCCCCTGCACTCTGCATTACCCACTTCTGATCCCTGTACTCTGTACTTTTTCCTTACCTCTGCACTATCTGCATTACTTAACCCTGACCTCTGCACTCTGTACGTTACTTACAACCCCTGTACTGTGCATTACCCACTTCTGATCCCTGTACTCTGTATTTACTCCTGACCTCTGCACTTTGTGCATTACTTATTCCTGACCCCTGCACTCTGTACGTTACTCATGTCCCCTGCACTTTGCAATACTTACTCCTGACCTCTGCACTCTGTACGTTACTTACTCCTGTCCCCTGCACTCTCCCCTGTCCCCTGCACTCTCTGCATTACTTACCCATGATCTCTGTACTCTGTAAGTTACTTACTCCTGAACCCTTCACTCTGCATTACTACTTCTGACCTCTGCACTCTCTACATTACTTACTTCTGTCCCCTGCATTTTGTATGTTACCCTGTCCCCTGCATTTTGTATGTTACTTTCTCCTGTCCCCTGCATTTTGTACGTTACTCCTGACCCCTGCACTCTGTTTCTTATACCTGACCTCTGCATTACCGACCCCTGACTTCTGTGCCCTGTAGGTTACTAACCCCTGTGCCCTGTATGTTGCTTACTCCTGACTCCTGCACTCTGTATTACTTGATTCTGACTTCTGCACTCTCTGTATTACTTACTCCTAACCCCGCATGCTGTGCATTTCATAGTCCTTACCCCTGTATTACATACTCCTAACCTCTGCACCCTGTACATTACTTACTCTTGACCCCTGCACTCTATGCATTACTTACCCATGAACTCTGCACTCCTGAACCCTACACTCTGTATTATTACTTCTGACCCCTGCACTTTGTACGTTACGTTTTCCTGACCCCTGCACTTTGTACGGTACTTACTGCTGACCCCTGCACTCCGTTTCCTATACTTGACCTCTGCACTCTCTGCATTACCTACCCCTGACTCCTGTGCCCTGTAGGTTACTTACCCCTAACCCCTGTGCCTTGTAGGTTACTTACTCCTGACATCAGCCCTCTCTGTGTTACTTACTCCTAACTCCTGCATGCTGTGCATTAGTTATTCCTTACCCTTGCATTTCATACTGCTGACCCCTGCACTCTGTCTCTTATACCTGACCTCTGCACTGTCTACATTACTTACTCCTGACCCCTGCATGCTGTGCATTTCTTAGTCCTTACCCCTGTATTACATACTCCTGACCTCTGCACCCTCTACATTACTTACTCTTGATCCCTGCACTCTATGCATTACTTACTCATGAACTCTGCACTCCTGAACCCTTCACTCTGTATTGTTACTTCTGACCCCTGCACTTTGTACGTTACGTTTTCCTGACCCCTGCACTTTGTTCGATACTTACTCCTGACCCCTGCACTCCGTTTCCTATACCTGACCTCTACACTCTCTGCATTACCTACCCTGACTGCTGTGCCCTGTAGGTTACTTAAACCTAACCCCTCTGCTTTGTAGGTTACTTACTCCTGACATCAGCCCTCTCTGTGTTACTTACTCCTAACTCCTGCATTCTGCATTGCTCCAACTTCTGCACTCTCTGCATTGCTTACTCCTGACCCCTGTATGCTGTGCATTACTTAGTACTTACCCCTGCATTACATACCCCTGACACCTGCACTCTGTTTCTTATACCTGTTCTCTGTGTATTACTTACTCCTAAGCACTGTACTTTATGTCTTATGCACTCTTGTCCCCTGCACCCTCTATGTTACTTACTCTTAACCCAGAGCAGAGAAGGCTCAGGTTTTTATTTACCATACCCCTTTAAGCCACTCCCACTATTATAATTTGGCCACAACCACTATTCACCACAGTGCATCATTGCTCTCCTCAAGGTGCCCTAAGATGTCCCATGTTTTTCACAATCTATGTCCCTGCATACCCTGTTATGTTCCCAGAACAGGAAGTAAAGGGAAATCACCCCACCAGGAAAAAGGGAGACCAAAAATAGCTAATGGGAGTAATAACCCTTCTGTACTATATCCAAAATAAACAACAATGTTTTGGCTATACAAACCATTTAATACAGCTCTGGAACACGAGAACATAACCGCAAAAAATCAGAGAGACCTAGAGAAAATACTACAACTGGTGCTCAACCTGCAGTCCAAGGGTCGCAGACACTCATCTGTGTTTCCCTATTGCCCTATTGTAGCGGTGATGTCCAGCAGTCTCATGTAATGTGTCTTCCGAAGCATGTCTCCAGTCTCTAACAGGTGCTGGAACGTTGCTCCCCGTTGTTTCCGTTGAAAAAAAGCTCTGTGTATGTATATATATACACACAGTGTGTGTGTGTGTGTGTGTGTGTGTGTGTATATATATATATATATATATATATATATATATATATATATACATGCACACAATATACAGTTAGGTCCATATATATTTGGACACAGGCACAATTTTAGATTTTTCAGGTGTTTACCAAAACATATTCAAGCTTCCAGCTATAGTTATATAATGGATCTGGGCTGAAAGTGCACACTCTCAGGTTTAATTTGAGGGTATGTACATCCAAATTGGAGGAAGGGTTTAGGAATTACAGCTCTTAAGAGTAGCCATCCCCCCTTATTCAAGGGACCAAAAGTATTTGGACAATTGAACCAGAAGCTGTTTCCTAGCCAGGTTTGGGCTACTCCTTCATTATTTCTTCATCAATTAAGCAGGTAAAAGGTCTGGAGTTGATTCTAAGTGTGGTATTTGCATTTGGAATCTATTGCTGTGAACCTACATCATGCGTTCAAAGGAGCTGTCCATGCAAGTGAAACAGGCCATTGTAAGGCTTCACAAAAACTAAACAAATCCATCACAGAGATAGCAGCAACATTAGGAGTGGCCAAATCAACAGTTTGATACATTCTGAGGAAAGAAGAAATCACTAGTGAGCTCAGCAACATAAAAAGGCATGGACGTCCATGGAAGACAACAGTGGTGGATGATCACAGGATCCTCTCTATGGTAAAGAAAAACCCATTCACAACATCCAGAGTTGAAGGACACTCTCCAGGAGGTGGGCGTATCATTGTCAAAGTCTACTATCAAGAGCAGACTTCACGAGAGCAAATACAGAGGGTTCACCACAAGGTGCAAACCATTCATAAGCCTGAAGAATAGAAAAGCCAGATTAGACTTTGCCAAAAAACATCTAAAAAAGCCAGACCAGTTCTGGAAAAGCATTCTTTGGATGAAACTAAGATTAATCTGTACCAGAATGACGGGAAGAAAAGAGTGTGGAGAAGGCTTGGAACAGCTCATGATCCAATGCACACAACGTCATCTGTAAAACATGGTGGAGGCAGTGTGATGGCATGGGCATGCATGGCCTCCAGTGGCACTGGGTCATTGGTGTTTATTGATGATGTGACAGAAGACAGAAGCAGCTGGATGAATTCTGCAGTGTTTAGAGATAAACTGTCAGCCCAGATTCAGCCAAATGTAGCAAAGTTGTTTGGACGGCGCTTCACAGTACAGATGGACAATGATCCAAAACAAAGTAGTGGAACATTCTGCAATGGCTGAGTCAATCACCTGATCTCAATCCAATTGAGCATGCATTTCACTTGCTGAAGACAAAACTAAAGGCAGAAACACCCACAAACAAAGAACAACTGAAGACAGCTGCAGTTAGAGCCTGGCAAAGCATCAGAAAGGAGGAAACCCAGTCTTTGGTAATGTCCATGGGTTCCAGACTTCAGGCAGTCATTGCCAGTAAAGGATTCTCAACAAAATATTAAAAATGAACATTTTATTTATGATTATATTCATTTTGTCCAATTACATTTGAGCCCCTGAAAATGGAGGGACTGTGTATAAAAATAGTTTGCATTTCCTAAAATTTGTACTTGATATTTATGTTCAACCCCTTGAATTAAAGCTGAAAGTCTGCACTTCAAATTCATTTGGATAGTTTTTTTTTTTTATTTATTCTGTTTGCATACAGAGCCAAAAGTATGAAAATTGTGCCTGTGTCCAAATATATATGGACCTAACTGTATTGCCAAAAGTATTAGGACATCCCTCCTAATCATTGGATTCAGGTGTTCCAATCACCTCCATGGACACAGGTGTATACAATCAAGCCCCTAGGCATGCAGACTGCTTCTACAAACATTGGTAAAAGAATGGGTCGTTCTCAGGAACTCAGTGACTCCAAGCGTGGTACCGTGATAGGTTGTCACCTGTGCAATAAGTCCATCCGTGACATTTCCTGGCTACTAAATATTCCACGGTCAACTGTTAGTGGTATTTTAACAAAGTGGAGTGGAGCAACTGGGAACAACAGCAACTCAGCCAGCAAGTGGTAGGCCACGTAACATGACAGAGCGGGGTCAGCGCATGCTGAAGCGCACAGTGAGCAGAAGTCACCAACTGTCTGTAGAGTCAGTAGCTAAAGACCTTCAAACTTTGTGTAGCCTTCATATGGGCCCAACAACAGTGTGTAGAGGACTTCATGGAATGGGTTTCCATGGCCGAGCAGCTGCATCCGAGCCTTCATCACCAAGTGCAATCCCAAGCATCGGATGCAGTGGTGTAAAGCACGCCACCACTGGACTCTAGAGCAGTGAAGATGTGT